TCATTAAGTACCGCCGCCGAAGAAGTAGTCGGATTTCAGCGAGCCCGAAAGAACAACTGGTACGATGAGGAGTGTCAGGAAGCTGCAGAGAAAAAAGATGCCGCGTACAGGGCCACGCTGCTATCGGACAGCAACGCGCGCTATGTGGGACCGCTATAGGGATCTGAAGAGGGAAGCGAGACGTATTTGCCGCAATAAGAAGAGAGAGGCCGAAATACGTGAGTGCGAAGAGCTTGAAATGCTGGCCGACAGGAAGAATGCCCGAAAATTTTACCAGAGAGTTAGGCAGACTTACGGAAGGTTTCAAGACCGGGCGTACTCCTGTAAGAACAATAATGGCGACCTAGTAACTGATGTCCAGAGCGTACTTAAATTATGGAGGGAACACTTTTCCGCCCTACTAAATGGTAGCAGCACGGAAAGTTGTTGAGAAGAAGAACCCGAGCCCGCAGTCGATGATGACGGAGTCGATGTTCCACCGCCTGACTATGACGAGGTACGTATAGCAATAACGCGGCTGAAAAACAACAAAGCTGCTGGAGCTGACCAGCTGAGCTATTCAAGTAAGGCGGCGAGGAGTTGATAAGGTGCATGCATCAACTCTTGTGCAGAATATGGTCAGATGAACGCATGCCCGACGACTGGAATTTAACACCCCTATTGCGAGTGTCGACTGGCAGTAGATAAACGACTATTAAGCGATTATCGATTATTGATGCAATTGTGAGTGTCGCTTAGTCGCTCAATTAGCGACTGTGAATACTTTTTAATCGCTCATCCTTCTATTGCTGTTTTTTAGTCGTTGGAGTTTGCGTTTATAAAATTTACACAAGAAAGTTGTACTATTTATAATGGACAAAAAGTAAGTCAATTGAATGGAAGTTGTAAAAAATTGTAAAAAATTGAATTACAGATCAAAAATTGTTAGCAACAAAAGGCAACTTGCGCGGTTGGTCGAGCTGATGCAGGAGAATGAGGACATAGGCAAAGCAATTTAACTCCGGGTACGCCATCCACAGTGTTTTTGCGCAGAACCAACATCAAAGTTTACAAAAAACTGCATAATTTGTTAATTAACTAGTGCTCGGAAATTTTAAATCTTTATTTTAAATTAAAGTTCGATTCTTTCACTACACGTGTATGTTAAAGCTTTTAAAATCGGGTCACAAATACCCACAATCATTGTACAAATAGCTAAACCGGACTGTATTTCTTAAACTAGTTGAGTTCCACATACTTCACGATTTGAAGGTTTTTACAGGAAGCTTTTCCTGCAAATCCTGTAAAACCTACAAACCGTGAATCATCTGGAAAGCAACTACTATTCACTAAATTCACATATGTACAAACACTCCATCTGCCAACTCCAAGGGATTCGGCGAATCTCGCAATTTCCTCCTTGCTTTAGCCAACTCTACTAATCTTTTAGCTTCAACATCATCTTCCTCATCACTAAAGCACATTTCAACTGTATCCATTTTTTTAATTTTATAATAAAAGTAATTATTTTAAAAATGATGTAAATGAAACACTAAAGAAACAAATGTAAACAAATAAACAGCTGTTTACAATTCAGTCAACCATTCACAATAGTACAAATTTTAATCGATCAAGTTACACAATAGGGGCCTAAGTGTGCTCTGCCCAATCCACAAGGAAGGTGACCCCGCCATTCGCGCCAGCTACCGCATAGGTTATAAGGTCTTATCGAGCGTATTGTGTGAAAGACTGAAGCCCACCGTCAATGAAATGATTGGGCCTTATCAGTGTGGCTTTAGACCTGGCAAATCCACCATAGACCAGGTATTTATAATACGCCAAATCTTGGAAAAGAAC